TCCCAGAGGACCGGAGGGCGCGGGGAGGATTATACGGGAGCAGGCGGTTAGGGATTCTGGAGGGAGGTGCTGCTTATCTTGTCTGTTGGAGGTAGCCACACTTGGGCTGCATTCACACTGCAAGAATAATCCAGTTTGAATAATCCATTTTAGCTGCCATGTCTCCATGTTATGGAATCCTGGAATTTGTAGTTTGTTGTGACACCAAAGCTAACAGAGAAGGCTAAAAGTCTCTTAAAACTGCTATTCCTACAGTTCCACAGCATTGAGCTAAGACTTTTAAAGGGGTGTCAAACAGGATTATTTCTGCAGTGTGGATGCAGCTATACAGTAGGATTGACTAGAACAGAATCCAGTTATTTCCCAGCTCAGGTTTTATTGCATTGTTTAATGCAGTTAGGCTGCTGAAAAAGAACACAGAAAATCTTTGTTTCTTCCTTCACCATCTTCCCAACACCAATGGTGCTAAAAAAACCCTTTTAGTTAGAAAGAGGACCAGCCAGAAAAGTGGGCAGGCATAACAGGATTTGTCTAAAAAGGAGCTTCTCTTCTGCAGAAGGCTTTGCTGAGTTGTGTCTGTACATATATGTTTTTTCTCTTCTATTCATAGAGGCACAGGTAGCTCTTAGGAAAAGCAGTGCAAATGAAGTGTTTTATTAAGATAACAATTCTACTTACAACATAACTATGAAATCTGCTATTCCCCAAAAGAAGTCAGTTATAGATGATAAACTCCATGGAGCCCGGCTCCGGCTATCCAACACTTGTCCTATGACACGAGGGAAAAAAATCATAATTATCATCCCAAAACAGGAAGTGTTCATTACTATGAATGAGGAAATACTGTTATTGCATACATCAGGGGCCGGCAACCTACGGCCCGGGGGTCGGCAACCTATGGCCCAGGGGCCGGATTTGGCCCCCCCGAGGCCTTTGGACCGGCCCCAGCCCAGTCCTGCCGCCGCCCCCGCCTGCTGTCACTGCGTGTGCCGCCGCTGCGCAAGTTGCGCCCACCATTTTGTTTTCCAAAATGGCACTGCAACTGGTTTGCGCATGCACTGGAGTACTGCGCATGCGCAAACCAGTCGCGGTGCCATTTTGGAAAACAATATGGCAGCCGCGACTCACTCGCGCAGGTGTGTTGCAGTACGCCGGAAGTGCTGCGCATGTGTGAGTGAGCGTGCGTGCACATGCGCAGTATTTACGGCATATTGTGCATGCGTGCGTGAGCATGTGCGCATGGTGCCATTCCCTCCCCCTCAGCCCCCGGAAGACCTTGGGACCAGAGGACCGGCCCCAGGTAAACAAAAGTTGTCTACCCCTGGCATACATATTATACAAGTTAAAGCACAGACCTAATTCCAGTGTTACTTTCAACTCGAGCAGACCCATAAATCAATGGAATTTACATAAGGTCACACTTAGGAAGTTCCCCTTGATCAATAGGTCTACTGTAATTGGGACTAACAATTGGAATCAGATCTAATGCTTTTCCCATTCTCAGTACGCAAGAGAGCAAAAGTAAACTATGGGGCTATGCAGACAGGCAGTTCTGGGCTGCCCTGGTAGCCGTGGATCGGGGCCACGGCAATTGCACGCTGCAGCCCCGATCCTCCCTTTTGCCGCCTCTGAAAGAATGGCAAAATGCCCCTCCTTTTGGGGGTGGCAAAAGGCTGCTCTAAGAGCTGGCGTGTGGCTCTTTAGTGCCCTTTCTGGTGCAGCATCAAAACGCTGTGCCGGAAGTGTGTCCTGATGCCACGCGCCATGCTTAACGGCACACAGCGTCAGGATGGTGTCGCTGTGGGGTTGGAGCAGCCGGCATGCAGCTGCCCCACCCCATCTCTGCCTCCAGGCTGGCCCTTTGGGCCGGTCTGCAGAGGCCCTATATTGTCAAAGAAATGTCATATCAAGATAAAACAAATACAGGTAAATTATATTTGGAACAAGAGTTCAGGATCCAAAGAACTACTTTATACACAATCAAGAGCTTGGACACATCAGGTTTTGGCTTGAACAGGAAACCACCATGCTGTGAATCACAATCTGCTCCTGAAGAACCAATATCAGAAGTGGCTTGCCATACAGCATATGCACCTGCTGTTCAAAAAACAATTTCCATTCTGTTTGGGTGCAATTGGCCCTCTAAATCCTTGGATTCTGCATCCATCGATTCCACCATCCATGGCTATATATCTAAAAAGCAAACCTTGATTTTAGTACTTTATATAAGGGAAACCATTTTACTACTCCACTGCATATAGCGGGTCTTTAGTATCCACAAATTTTGGTTTCCATGGGGGATCCTGGAACCAAACCACAGCAGATACCAAGGGCCCACTGTAGTTATGTAACACTTGGGATCCAGGGCAAAAAAAATTCCTTGCTTTTGTGTGTGTGCGTGCGTGTGTGTGTTTCCTTGGTATTATTTCTTGGTGACCACATTCTTCTTCCTTCAAAATGTTGCAAGCTGGAGAATTATATAATTCCAGTTGTGAATTTCCAAATGTGTTCAGATCTGAAAATGTACTTAAATACATAACAGAATATATCCCCTGAAAACAATACTGTTTTGCTGTCTAACACTGCTGGTTTCGCATTATAGTTGCTATGCTGCTGGTATTGGTCCCAATAATTCATGGAAAATCTGTAGGTTGGATTGGACTCATAAGATGTGAGGCATCCAGCACCTTGATTTGGTGCTTCTGATGTTTATAAAATCTCTACCGACCTGTTAGAAGATCTTTCAACGGAATGGATTATGGTTTGACTCCACACGTTTTATCTGACTATACTATTAAAGTGAACATTTTTGTTGTAGTGTGTCTTCAAGTCATTTCTAACATATGACAACCTTATTATGGGGTTTTCTTAGCAAGATTTGGTTCAGAAGAGGTTTGCCTCTGAGGCTGAGAGAGTGTGACTTGCCCAAGACACCCAGTCAATTTTCATGGCTGAGCAGGGATTTGAGCCCTGGTCTCTAGAGTAGTAGTCCAATGCTCAAACCACTATACCACACTGTCTGTCAAACAAAGTGTGCCCAGTATAGCTGCCCTTGGCTGCATGTGCACTGCAGAAATAATCCTGTTTATCACCACTTTAACCGCCATGGCTCAATGTTATGAGTTTGTTGAAGCACTAGAGCTCTGCTTTGACAGAGAAGGCTAAACGGCTCACAAAACTACAATTCCCAAAATTCCATAGCACTCAACCATGGCAGTTAAGGTGGTGTTGAACCCGATTATTTCTGCAGTGCAGATGCAGCCCTAGTCTCTATACCACTGTACTTCCTGCTGCTACAAACAAATACACTTAAATTAAAACATAAAAAGGTTCTGGAGGACTGCATGATTCCTTGTTGTTGTTTTGCCTTCAAGTCATTTCTGACTTATGGGGTCCCTAAGAGTATTTCATGGGGATTTCTTAGCATGTTTCTTCAGAGGGGGTTTGCCATTGTTTTCCTCTGAGGCTGAGAGAGTGTGACTTGCCCAAAGTCAACCGGAAGGTTTACATGGCTGAGCCAGGATTCGAACCCTGGTCTCCAGAGTCATAGTCCAATGCTCGAACCACTATGTCCACACGATCCCTACTGCTGCATTAAAAGAACCAAGCAGAACTGTGAACTATAGACCACCAATTTAATCCACCTGCAATGAGCATTTAATTGCTCAACTCTTTCAATGCTGATGAAACAACACAGAGAGAAAGAGCCCAACTAGACATGGAAGTACCAAAACCAGATGCCAACTTTTAGCTGCCACCCACACTGCAAGAGACACTTATCAAAAACAAGTTTTGTTTTAGAGGTGGTATTAAATCAGTGGCCACATGAGACAAGTCACAATTCAAAATGCACAGAGGAGAATTGCACGGGGACTGAGAGTGAGATAATGGCAGCCAGGAAAAGTGACGACACATATTAGACAAACAGATTAAGGCAACAACAACCACGTCCTCGGAAGTAGCAGCAGTGCTGCTTCATCCCAAGATCAGCAGGACTTACAAGCAAACGTCCACAGGATTACAGCCTTACAGCAATGTGTAGCATAGGAGGCAAAGAGTTATTTCGGTCCCACATTTTGAGCACCAAGAGATCTGAAGATGGCATTATACCTGAAGAAATCGGAGCTGTGAAAAGACAGTAAATGGATCTGCACTGTAGAAATAATGCACTTTCCATGGCTCCATCCTACAGAATCTCAGGACCTGTAGTTTTCTGAGGCACCAGCACTCTTGGGCAGAAGAGTTTTACAAGTGCATTTTCAGATCTGAACAAATTTGGAAATTCACAACTAGAACGTTGTATATTTTTTTTCCAGTTGGCAACATTTTAAAGTGAGAAAAGTGTGGTCACCAAGCAATAATACCAAGAAAATGCACACACGCATGCACAAAATCCAAGAAAAAGTCTCTGCCCTGGATCCCAAATGCTACACAACTACAGTGGGCCCTTGATATACACTGGGGTTTGGTTCCAGGATCCCCATGGATACAAAAATCTATGGATGCTCAAGACTGAGAGAGTGTGACCTGACCAAGATGGAGCTACAGCACTTAAAGTGGGCATCAAACAGCATTATTTCTACAGTGTAGATGCACCCTAGGAGCCACTGTGGTGGAGTGGTTTTAGTGTTGGACTCTGGAGACCAGGGTTCGATTCTGAGCTCGGCCATGACACCCACTGGGTGACCTTGGACAAGTCACATGCTCTCAGCCTCAGAGGAAGGTAATGGCAAACCTCTTCTGAACAAATCTTTCCAAGAAAACCCCAGGATAGGTTTACCTTAGAGTCGCCATAAATCGGAAATGACTTGAAGGCACACAACAACAACAACAACAACAGATGCACCTGAAGCAGGAAGGCAGAGAAGTGTCTGAGACAAAACTATTAGCCTCCCCTCCAAAAGGAAAACACTGTGAAAACTGCATTGACCACAAGCCACATCTTGATATAAAGTTTACATTAACTAGGATTGCATTTATAAATGGTTCTCCCTTTTCCATATTTACGAGAGACAATAAGCAAAAGAGAAACCAGTTGCGAAAACAGTTTCAAGGCTGAAAATGATTTAATTATAGGGTAGGTACCCCCCCCCCCCAATGAGCCAGGCTGACTTAGTGGTTTGAGCATTGGACTACAACTCTACAGACCAGGGCTTGGCCATAGAAACCCACTGAGTGACCTTGGGAAATTCACATACTCTCAGCCTCAGAAGAAAGCAAAGGCCAACAAATCTTGCAAAGAAAACATTGCAAAAGGTTTGCCATAAGTCAGAAATGTCACAAAAACCAACTCCTTGCCCTGCCCTCAGCTGAGTTTGTGTTGTGTGCCTTCAAGTCTTTTCAGACTTACGGCAACCCTAAGGTGAACCTATCATGAGGTTTTCTTGGCAAGGTTTGTTCAGAGGAGGTTTGCCATTGCCTTCCCCTGAGGCTGAGAGTGTGCGACTTGTCCTTAAATTCACTTACCTTCAATTCACTTGTCATACAAATCAACTGATTTACCCTCACTCTTAACTTGCAGCCAGAGGATCCAAATCCTCTTTATTCACCATATGGGTCTAAGGCTGGCTGGTAGATACCCACGGCTGCCTTTTTCCCAGATGGATCGTGATACAAAAGTGTGGTGAAACCCTTTCACAACACAAAACAGGGATGACTTTACTAGGGATCTCAATGTAAGCCAGTGTGGCATATTGGTTTGAGCATTGGATCATGACTGGAGAGCAGGGTTCAAATCCTCACTCAGATATTGAAACCCACTGAGGGCCTTTACAGACTGCCAGAAATAATCCAGCTTGAGGCCACTTTAACTGCGGCTGGCTCAGTGCTAGGGAATCATGGGATCTGTAGTCTTTTCTGAGACACTGAGCCTTCTCTGTCAGAGAGTTCTGGTGCCACAACAAACTACAATTCCCATGATTCCCTAGCACTGAGCCAGGGCATTTAAAGTGGTCTCAAACTGGGTTATTTCTGGCAGTCTGTTCAGGCCTTAACTGAAAGAAAGAAATTGGCAGCATGAGCTTTTGTAGACTTCAGTCTACTTCCTCAGATGCATTAGGGCCTGTGCAGACTGCCAGAAATAATCCAGTTTGAGGCTACTTTAACTGCCCTGGCTCAGTGCTAGGGAATCATGGGATTTGTAGTTTTTTTCTGAGACACTGTGTCAGAGAGCTCTGGTGCCACAATAAACTACAGCAGGGGTAGGCAACCTTTCCCCTTTAAGGGCCAAGGGACTTCAGCTCCCAGAATCCCAGGAGCTATTGGCCAACATGGGACTATTGGCCAACATGGCTGAGGCTTCTGGGAGCTGAAGTCCCTCGGCCCTTAAAGGGGAAAGGTTGCCTACCCCTGGACTACAGTTTTAGGGTGGCCACAAGTCAGAAATGCCTTGAAGGCAGACAACAGCAGCAACAAAGGGTCTCAACGCGGGCAGTGCATGCGCTGAGCCTATGCCTCCCGCCACAGGGCCAGGCAGGAGAAGCGCAAAGCCCTGGAGGAGCCACGCTCCCCACTTCCATGCCGCCGCCGCCCCCCGGAGGCAAAGGCAAAGGCAAAGGCGAACCCGCCGGCTCCCTCTCACCGTTGGAAATGTAGACCATGGCTCCCTGCCTCCGCTCCGCTGCGCCACTGACTTCCCCCGGACTCGGATCCCTTCCGCCCTTTCACTCAGGAAGCCGGAGCTGGGAAGACGCCATTGGCTGAGCGCTCCTGGGTGGCTTTGTGACGTCGCCGCGTTCGTGTTCCTTTAAGGGCGTCCGTCCCTCCTTAGTCTTAAGCGCCGCCCTATACAGACTGCCAGAAATAATCCCTTAACTGCCCTGGCTCAGTGCTAAGGAATCACGGGAACTGTAGTTTATTACGACACCGGAGCTTTCTGACAGAGAAGGCTCAATGTCTTAGAAAAGACTACAATTCCCATGATTCCCTAGCACTGAACCAGGACAGTTAAAGGGGTCTCAAAATGAATTATTTCTGGCAGTCTGTACAGGCCCTTAGTCTTCCCCAACCTTCGGAGGCGCTGCATGCCTCAGAGAGAGAAGGCATAACCCAGTTTGAGACCGCTTTAACTGCCCTGGCTCAGTGCTAGGGAATCCTGGGAACTGTAGTTCTGGGAGACATTGAGCCTTCTCTGTCAAAGAGCTCTGGTGCCACAATAAACTACAGTTCCCCGGATTTCCTAGCACTGAGCCAGAGCAGTTAAAGCAGTCTCAAACTGGATTATTTTCTGCACTGTGTTTTGGACCTTTGATGGCATTTTTTAAAGTCAATGGGGTTGCATCTGCACGGCTGAAATAATCCGGTTTGATACCGCTTTAACTGCCATGGCTCCGTGCTCTCTGACAGAGAAGGCTAAGGGCCTGTACAGAGTGCCAGAAATAATCCAGCTTGAGACCACTTTAACTGCCCAGGCTCAGTGCTAAGGAATCATGGGAACTGTAGTTTTTTTTCCTGAGACATTTAGCCTTTTCTGTCAGAGAGCTCTGGTGTCACAATAAACTACAGTTCCCAGGATTCCCTAGCAGCGAGCCAGGGAAGTTAAAGTGGTCTCAAGATGGATTTTTTCTGGCAGTCTGTTCAGGCCCTAAATGTCTCATAAAAATGCAAGTCCCAGAATTCCATAGCATGGAGCCATGCAGTTAAAGCGGTATGAAACAGGATTATTCTGGCAGTGTGGATGCAGGAAACATCTCTGGGCTGTAATCAAAGACGTAAATGGTTTATACTATGGCTGTTGGTCATAATATGGTTTATAATCAGTAGTTCCCAAACTTTGGTTCTTCGGGGGTTTTGAGCTCCATCTCCCAGGATCCCCATCCAACTTGGCCAAAAGTCAGGAATTCTGGGAGCTGAAGTCCAAAACGTCTGGAGCACCCAAATCTGGGAACCACTGGTTTATATTATGGTTTATATTCTGACTGATTATGATTTATATTCAACTGGTTTATATTATGGTTTATATTATGCAATGGTTTATATTATGACTGTTGTTGTTGTGTGCATTCCAAGTCATTTCTGAGTTATGGCGACCCTGAGGCAAACCTGTCTTGGGGTTTTCTTGGCAAGTTTCTTCAGAGGGGGTTTGCCATGGCCATCCTCTGAGGCTGAGAGAGTGTGACTTGCTCAAGGTTACCCAGTGGGTTTCCATGGCCAAGCCAGCATTCGAACTTTGGTCTTCAGAGTCGTAGTCCAACACTCAAACCACTACACCACACTGGCTCTCTAAATGCCACAAAGCAGTAGTTGCCAACTTCTTCTATACCCCACACGCCTACGAAATGTTTGATTAACGTTCGCACCCTTTACAAAAGTTATTATTGCATTTGAAGATGGAGAAGTCTAATTTCTCATTTTTGAACTACATACATACAAAAGGGCAGTACATGTAAATACAGTAGGCCCTTGGTATCTACTGGGTTTTGGTTTCGTGATCCTTTCATGGATACCAAAATCTGTGGATGCTCAAGGCCCATTAAATACAATGGCATAGTAAAATGGTGCCCCTTATATAAAATGGCAAAATGCTTTTTGGAATGTATATATTTTTGAATATTTTCAAGTCGTGGATGGTTGAATCCATGGAT